TGCTTATAAATAAAACATAGCAAACAATATTTATTAAGTCTCTGCTTTTTGCAGAGGGCTGAAGCTAGTTGTATAAAGACAGTTACAAAAGAAAGTTTTGTCTGGCCAGAGTTGAAAGATCCATATCGACAAGACTGCTTATGTCACACTCTGTCCTGAGTGCAGGAATGGGGGAGAGGGGAGGCTGTGCATATTTTGGTCAGTTTTGGGCAGGTGATAGAACACACATTTTTCAGGGCGCCTGTAGAAGAGTAGATAAAGTACCTCACTTCGCAGTCCCGTGACCCTGGACAAATCACTTAATGAGGCTGAACCTCAATTCTTCATCAGCATAATAAAGATGGCGACTGCACCCACCTCACTGGGCTATTGTGATTACCAAATGAGCTAATGCAAATAGCACCCTTTATAAACCTTAAAGCAATAAATAAATGTTAGCTCTTATTACTAGGTATGATTTTTCCTGCCCTCCGTGTTCATTTTAACCTGATTTCAACTGAATGAACAGAGGAACCAACGTTTATGAAGCACCTGCTATGTAGGCACTGTGCTAAACTCTTTACAGATCTGTCTCATTTGATTTTCACAACCCAGTGAGTAGGTGCTGTTATGATCCCCATTTGACAGGGAAATGGAGGCAGACGGAGGCTAAGTAACTTGCCCAGGGTCACATAGCTAGTAAATGTCTCATGTCAGATCTCAGATCTTCTTGACTCCTGGCCCCAGAGCTCTATCCACTCCACCACCTCAAACATAAATATGTCAAGGCTGGTGATCAGGGCCACTGAATATGAGTTATCTCAAGATCTCCATCCTCCTAGGGGTTGTTCTGGGCTTCAGATCACTTGGGGAAGGGCTTGAGTGAATGAATGTGAGTGGGAACGTGGAAATGAAAAAGAGGAAATAAAGCAGTACCTTTAGATAGTGACACCCCGGATCCTAATTCCTTATCCCTTCATTCAGAGCCCTTCGCTATCTGTTGTGACCTGAGATATCTAACTTCATCTATCACTCCTCCCCAGTCTGAAACATCCTTCCAGTCAGACTATTCTCCTTACTGACATCCACACACCACATCCTCTTTCTGGCTTCTGTGCCCGTATTTCCTCAAGTTGAAATGCCTGAACCCCCCCTCCCCCAGTCCCACCCCTTCTCTGATTGATTGTACAGATCCTTTCCATCTTCCCCACAAAGCCCATGCCAATTACTGTAACTGCCTCCTCTGACCTCCCAAACACTTACAGGCTGTAGGACATCATTTTGCCCTTGATTATATAGTATTATTCTCATAGTATTTCAGATGCGTTAAACTTATCTCTCCAACTAGAGTGTTATTCTCATAGTGTTTCAAATGTGTTAATCTTATCTCCCCAACTAGAGCATAAATTTCTTGAAGGCAGACATCACATATTTTACACCTCTTGTATATACTACACTACAGTACCCAGCACATTGACCAGTAGGAGTTTAATACTTGCTTACTGGTTGACTGATTAGAGAGATTAAGGCATAAAAGGAAGAGTGAGGCACACATGAATAGTTGCTAGCAGGAAAGAATTTAGACCATGGTGCCAGGACCAATTCCAGCATTCCAAGACTATTGGAATGTTGTCAGGTTCCAAGTTGTGACTATAGTATCACCCAGCATCCCAAGGACAGAGTGTTTCTGGGTGAGCCTTGAACGATGGGTGGCAAGATTAGAACAATGGAATGTGCCTGAAGGCAAAAACAGGGGCCTCCAACCCCTCAGCCCAACCAGGGACTTCCTGGAGGGATGCTTGACCAAGCAGGGGGCCTGCAATTTGTGTCCACATAGGACAAAGTGAAGGGAGCATGGGCCAGTGGTCTGGATGATTTGATCGGTGTTGATACTTCTAATGGACTCATTCCCACCACTGATATCTGCCTGGAATCCATTGTGACTACACTTTCCAGCATTTGTCCACGGCTGCAGCTGCTGTGGAATGTGATGAATTCAGAGGGCCCTGAACTGGGAACAGAGCCCCCACTTTTGTCATTGCCTTATGTGACCCTAGGCACGACATAGAATCCCAGTGTCTCCAGGGACCTCAGAGGTCATCTATTTTTATGCTCTACCCGAACCGGGTACAGTGTCCTGGCAATCAGTCAGTCAGAAAGCATTTTTTAAGTGCCAGGTACTGTGCTAGATGCTGACGATGCAGAGATCAAAATGGAGCAATCCCTGCTGTCAGGAGAGCTAACATTCTCTTAGAAATAAGTAAAGAGAATTTACCTCTAAAAACAACTTGCTCTCTAATGGAGAGAAAATTAACAAATCCCAACCCTTGTCCCCTCCTTAGGTTCTCATGATACACACAGAATCAGAGAATCCGGGATTTGGAAAGGACCTCAGAGGTCAAATTTAAGTCAACCTACACTTATATTTGTTGAGACCTCAGTTTCTTCATCTATAAAATGGGGGTAATGAGCTCTGCCCTAATTACTTCACAAGGCAATCATAAGAATAAGGAAAGTGCTTTGAGAAGGGTAAAGTGTATAAATATAAAGGGAAATACATAGAGCCCTGACTTGGAGTCAGGGAGACCTGAGTTCAATTCCAACCTCAGACATCATCTGTGTGACCTTCAGCAAGTCTGTTAACCTCTTTCAGCCTCAGTTTCCTCATCTGCAAAATGGGATAATAATAGCACTCACTTCCCAGAGTTGTTGGGAGGATCTAATTTGTCCAGTGCTTTGCAAACTTTAAAGCATTCTTTAGATATTAGCTATTGTGATTATATTGGAAACAGAGAAGGAATGTGTTCAACATGTACCAGAGAAGGGCTGTGGACTGATAATCCTATCCCTTACTTTTTTGAACTTCAACTTTGAAAATTCCATTTTTTGGAAAGTCTATATGACCTGAACCTTCTTGGGGGGAGGGAAGGTAAGAGGAGGCACATCCTGTATGAAACCAAGATGAGGGTGGGGGATACCAAAAAAAGGGGAACCAACTTCTCTGCTCTTAAGAAGTTTACAATCTAGTTGGTAGTGTCCAACATACCAACAGAACACTCCTGAAGTTACTCACGTGAATCTGTTATTAAATTCCTCATACTGTGGGAACTCCCTCTACAAGGTATCTATGACTTGTAGAGTAGCTAAGTCCTAGGGAGTTGCCTAAGATGCAAAAAGACTTTCCCAGAGTTATTCAACCAGTAAGTGTCAAAGACTAGATTTGAAGAGGGTTTTCCCAACCGCAGACCCTGTGCTCAATCCAGTGCTCCACTTTTGGCCTGAATAATCCTGTTTTTTGCTGTTATTTTTCAGTTGTGTCTGACTCTTCCGTGACCCCATTTAGGGTGTTCTTGGCAAAAATACTGGAGCGATTTGCTATTTCCTTCTCCAGCTCATTTTACAGATGAGGAAACTGAGGCAAATAGGGTGAAGTGAATTGCCCAGGGTCACATAGCTAGTAAGTGTCTGAGGCTGGATTTGAACTCAGGGAGATGAATCTTCCTGACTTCAGGCCCAACACTGTATCCACTGTGCAACCTAACTGTTTTAGTCATCTACATTGAGATACCTGACATCCATATCTTCTTTGCTAGAGAGGCAACTTAGAACAACCAAGACCAGGGTTCAAGTCCTCCCTCTGACAGGTATTGGCTGTATGACCCTGGGCAACTCTTCAGTGCTCTCTAGGCAACTCTCTAAGATGTGGATTCCTTAATCTCTGTGTGTGTGTGTGTGTGTGTGTGTGTGTGTGTGTGTGTGTGTGTGTGTGTGATGGAACCACTTGGCAGTCTGGTTAAGCCTATGGACTCCTCAGAATAATGTTTTTAAATGCATAAAATAAGACAACAGGATTGCAACGGAAACCAATTTGTTGAAATAGTTATAACATTTTTTTAAAATACATTCAGAAACCCCCAGGTTAAGAACCTCTGCTAAGACTGTAAGTTTCATAGAAGGTGCCAACCTATTTTGGTAGAGAAAATGTCATTCTCAGAGAGTTTACCATGCCAGTGACATCACAGATCCCCTCTATCCCTATCCTGCTTGCTTCATTTTGTGTAGACACAGCCCTGATATCTCCCCCCATACCCTGTTGCTCTTCTGAGCCTTGCCTTTCCCCCTGTCTTGCATCCTAATTCAGATTCTCATCTGAGCAGTGAGCAAGTATCTGGGATACCTTCCCATCCAAATGCTTTTCTTTGAAGGTCTAGACCCATCTCTCCTCTTTCGACAATCCCAGAGCATTCTGGCAAAGTATTTCTATCTATCCATTTCAATCCATTTCCTCGGCCTCTTCCATTCTCTTTCTCTTCTTGGTCCTCTCTTCTTTCCCTTTTGTTTTTCGTTCTTACTTCTCTCTCCTCTTTTCCTTTTCTTTGCCTTTTGGCTTCTTTGTTCCTTTCCTTCTCTATGTACCTTCATGCTTGGGGCAGGCTGAGGTGGTGCTGGGTGGTCTGAGTACTTCTTGCCCAGATCCTCCCATTCCTGTGTTTCCCACTTCGAGCATCAAGGAAAAATACTGGATTTGAAGTCAAAAGAGCTGGGCTTCCATCTTCACTCTGCCTCTGTCTGATCTCGTGTATGTTGCTTAACCTCTTTATGGTTGTTTGCTTGTTTGGTGGAAAAATGAGGGAAGTTGGACTAAATGATCTCCCAGATCCCATATCATTCTAAACACTGGGGTTCCAAGCAATTAAGTCATCCTTTGCTCCCTCTCAGTGTCCCTCAAAACTCATCAAACCCCAAACTCTAGTTGTGGCCCTCAAGGTAGCCCAAGGCTTTCCTCACTTTAGGTGTTCCGTTGTTGGGTAAATAATCTGTGGCTTGCAACAAACAGAGAGTGTGATCTCTGTTTGTTGGGAGATGGGGAAATTCTGGAACCTGAAGGATGGTAGGTCATGCAGAACTCAGTGAATGCTCCTAAAGCCATTTAATATCCTTTAGAAAAGAAGCCAGATAAAGGCTTGAGTGCGCTGCTGTTAATAACGGACATTTTCTTTCTTTTTTTTTTTTAATTCTAGGATCTTAGCTCTTTTGCCATGCCATTCTTAGATGGAGACCTGGAAAACTCGGAAAAACATGCTTCCCGTAAGGTAAGATCACCTCATTCACAGCTTGTGTGTTTCCCACTTGGAGTGAGGGAGAGTTACATGTCGGCACTCAAGTATCAGTCCCACCCTCTGGTCACATTGCTACAGAAACACACTCCCCTCCCTGATTAGTGGGGTAGCTCTTCTACCTCTCTATGGCTTGGGCCTGATGATTCAGGTGGTAGGTTATCCAGGCCTGACATTCCTCTTCCTCCCTCTTGTTGCTTATATTTGTGTCTTTGGGGCACTTTATTAGCAGCAGAGTGGTCAAAGTCAAAAGAGATGAACGTCACATTCAACCCTTTGGTTATGCTCTATCTGTTAGTAGTCCTGGGCATGAGAGAAAGGTCGAAGGTGGTAGTGAATATGAGATGTGGGTATTATCTGCAGGGATGATTTCATTAAGATAGCTCTGCCCTCATTATCACAGATAACAAAGTTGATTCTGACCCTGAAATAGCCCGGATTTGGCTATCTTTTTTTCCCTGTCCTTTGCTATGACCCTCACTCTCTTTTTCTTTATCTCACATTTCCCTTGCTCTCTATCTTCCCCTCCCCATGTTCCCCTTCTATTTCTGTCTCCCTTTCTCTCTTCTTCTTCCCCTCCTTCCTGCTTTGTCTCTCTGACTTCCTCTTTTTTTCATTTCTCTTCTTCTCCTTTCACTTCCTATCCCCCTCCCCCCATTCCCTGACTTTTTGAACATTTACACTTAATTGAAATAATTTTTCAGGAGAAGTTTTGCTCAAAGCTTGTAAATAAAAAATTCTCTATAAAAGATTTAATGACAGTTAAATGAAGATGAATGATTGAAACCTTCCTGGGATTTGTCATCTGTTAAACCCTGGTTTTTCTGTCTTGCTATAATGACATTTCGTTTTGAAAGATATTTGTGTTGTGTAGATAATTGCGCAAGTCTGGTGCTCAGACATCCCAAAATGCTAAATTTCTTTAATTGGTGCATTCAGTTGTTATCTGTAGCGGTAGGAATGCTCAGATTTTGTGTATTGTGTTCTAAATTATATTAAAATTTTTTTTAAAAAAACTATTTTGCTACTACAAAAAAAAAAAAAAAACAACCCTTTCCTTTGAGTTTCTCAATCCTCCTTGATTTTTCCAGCTTATTTGTAAGGTCTGAGAAATTCCTTGGAGCGAAATCACTGGACCCAACTTTGAGGTTCTAGTCTAGCTAGGAAGGTTGTAATCTTTACCCCTCCTTGCTACTTCATCTTCTTTTTCTAAACTACTCTTATCACCCTTCCTCTCCCCCTCTCTATCTTCCTCTTCTCTCTTCTCCTCCCTTTCCTTTGTCATTCTGTTAGATGGTACAGTGAATAGTGCCCCGGGCTTGGAGTCAGGAGCATTTATCTTCCTGAGTACAAATCAGGCTTCAAACACTTGCTAGCTGTGTAACCCTAGGCAAGTCACCTCACCCTGTTTGCTTCAGTTTCTTCATCTGTACCATGAAGTGGAGAAGGAAATGGCAAAGTACTCCAGTATCTTTGCCAAGAAAACCCTAAATGGGGTCACAAAGTATTGGACACGTCCAAAATGATTGAACAACAACAGAATTACTTGAACTCATGTAACTCATCGGTGACTCAGAGATGCCATCTGGGGTGTGAATTTGAAGGCATAAATCTGAGTCAGAGAGGGCCTTAGTGGAGGATTAGGAGGGGAAACAAAGCAGCTGTCTTCGGAGCTGTGGGACAAGGCAGTGTTTCTCCTCCAGTGGAGAAGTGAATTTGGAACAGGAAGCTGGGGATGGAGCAGTCATCCCAGAGTCTGTCTGCAGTAAAATGAGGAGTGTGGCCTGAGCCTGAAACTAAAGATACCAAAATAATCAGGGAAGTTGCCTTGAAACTCGATTTTTTTTTTGTTCTGAATGCCCTCAGGAGCTGGAATCACCAAGAGTTACAATATGAGTAATGGTAAATATTTAGTCTTTGCTCTGAGCATTTTAATTAAATATAATTGAATCAACTAATTAATTAATACAGACCTATGGGGCTCTCTTCCTTCTTCCTCTTTGCCTTCTCTCCCTGCCAAGAGCAGTTGGCTTCACTTTAACCTGCCCTATTAGTGGCTCTGGTAGCCTAACTAAATGAGAACCTCAAAATGATTTTGCCTCAGGAATTTCCTGGGTCTGTAAAGAAGTGGGAAAAAGTGGAGGAGGATTTCCACGCTTAAAGGAAAATATTTCAAACAAACTCAAAGGATTTCAATCAGGCTCCGGGACTAAGATCACAAGAGAATCCTTACCATCAGAGAACATTTACGAGTACCTACTTTGTGTCCAACAAGAGGCTTGGCGCTATCCCTGCCTTCCATGAATCTGGGATCTAGTTGGAAAGAGAGCTGTGAGCTAGAAGGATTCAAGGACAGTACACATGTTGGTTTTCATTCTACTGAACTAACCTGTTTGTACTATCTGTCATCTAAACTTGTGTTTCTTTCCACAAAGATTTGTTCATCTTGTTGCACATTCCTTGAACAAGGAACCAAAGTTTGCATAATATAGATGGGGTGGGGGTGGACTAAAGTTAGGATGGGCTTTGAGATACCTTGTAGAGACAATAAATATTCTAGGAGTAGAAGGGAGACCAAGGGTCTTTTAGGGAGGGCGTCTGTTCTAGGTAAAAATGTTCTTTACCTACCCTTTATCTCTGCCCATGCTCCATAGCCACCTGACACAACTAAGGTACCCTGGGCATAAGACCCAAAGGGCTGAATAGTTATTTTTGCACCGAAAATACACATTGCATGCAGTGATTTTTGAGTGTGAAAATATTCTTAAATATTCTATTTCAAAGTTTCTCCAAGGCCCTTTTCACTTTAGTGTGTTCTGTGTCCCCAGGTCTCTCCAGACCAGCGTTGATGGATTCCAACAATATTTTAATTTAGTTTGTATTTTTGAAAATTCAATTTTATTGGGGTTTTTTTTCAGTTAATAAGTATTTGTTTTCTTTCTGTCTCAGCTCCTCCCCCATCATTGGGGAAGAAAAGAAAAAGAAGTACCTTATAACAAGTATAAGCAAATTGCTGTTTCAGGGGATTTACTGTATGTAGTGTGCTTCATCATCAGTCCTCTGGGATTGGGGTTGGTCATCAGCAATGTATTTTGAGTCTTGAAGTATTTTTTGGCCAGATTAGTTTGGGAAATGCTCCTCTATATACTTTCTAGTCTGTCCAGTAGAATGAAAGCTCCCCTATGGAAGGGACTAGTTTTTATTTGGTATCTCCCAGTGAAGAGCACAATGCCTGGCACACAGCAAGTGCTTAATAAATGCTTAGCAAATTGGATTTACTTCAACTTGCAGTGGAAAAGGAACTGGAATTGATGCCAGATTATGATACAAATAACAAAATAGTAGGTGAGAGGAAATGGGTCATTCTGAGTCAAGAAAGCCGAAGAAAGAGGTTCAGAGAGAGAAATTCAGAATTGCAGGAGAGATTCTAGTACAGAGCAGGGGTCAGACCTAATGGGTTCAGAGGGCCGTGTGGTGAGAGGTGATTAGAAATGACTGAACCGTAAACTGCCGGTGCTAACGGCTGCCATTCTAGAAGGGGGCAGCTCATACCAGTGGCTGTGGAAGAGCTGGTGCTTCCAGACTCCCTCAGGTGTTGCTTTTACCTTTCTGGATGTTGGTTTGTAATAGAGCTTGCTAAAAGAGGGTTAACCAACCCCCAACCTTAACACACTGTTGTTAAGCCTGCCATACCCTAGACCTGTCAAACACCAGGACTCCTAGAATCCTTAAGCCTTGGACACAGAGTACCAGCACAGCTGAAGTCCACAAAATTACACACACACACACACACACACACACACACACACACACACACACACACGATTGTTCTTGCTCAATTGTGTCTGACTCTTTGTGATTCCATTTGGGGTTTTCTTGGCAAAGATAATGGAGTGGTTTGCCATTTCCTTCTCCAGCTCATCTTACAGATGAGGAAACTGAGGCAAACAGAGTTAAATGAGTCACATAGCTAGTGTCTGAGGCCAGATTTGAACTCAGGAAGATGAGTTTTCCTGGCTCCAGGCCCAGCATTCTATCCACTATGCCACCTAGCTGCCTATATATTTGCTTGAGAAAACATGGTTTAATGGGAACTATCAGATTCTAAAATAAATAGCTTACTAAATGACATACAAATCTATCAAAAATTATACCTGTCAAATAGAAAGAGCATCATTAACAATAAACCTAAACATAGAAGACTTATAATTATTCTGTATCTGTCCTGGACCAAATAGGTTCTGCTAGGACATGAAGCCATATGGATTTGCCACAAGATAGACAGACAGACAGACACACACACACACACACACACACACACACACACACACACACTTACTTTTTTGATTGCTTCTCCACTCACAGGAAGAGTATTTTTCTACATCAGTTCACTAAGACGTTTGAGGGAAGAAGGTATACCTTAGCTCCCCTGCTACTTTTCCATCAACAGAAGAGAAATCCAGGGTAAAGAGACAGTTCAGACTATTGTTGTCCCATGGCCAACCAGAAACAAAGAGAACAAAGAAGGTCAGGAGTAAACCCTTGGGAAGACCTGGATGAAGCCTACTATTATTGCCAGTTAAGTCAGGTTTCACATCAGTTCTCTCAGCCTACTATTGGGCTCAGCTTCAAGGGTGATGCAACCTCCTACTGCAAGTGCCACCAGGAAGAAGTCATTCATTAATCTGAGGGAGTCCAACCCATTTAATGCACACAAAGCAACCTCCCTCAGTCTAGTCCACTTGACTTGTTGGGAATCAACACAAGGGGGACTCACCCTATTCATGTTAAAGTCTGTCCTCCACGCCCCTCCTTGAGTACCATCCTGCTCTGGTGGGACCTTGGTAAGAGGAGGAGTAGAATCCCATCCCTTCTGCATTCAAACATATAGGAGACACAATTGCCAAATATGACGACACTAAGCATATGGGAGCCAAGGAGGCCTCTCTGGTTGTTTAGATTTAATGCTCTACACA